AATTTTATTGATAATTAATCAAGGTAATAGTAAAATTTAGTTTATAATACGAAATTAAAAGTTATAAAGGTTGAAAATAGTAACATGTATAAAAGTGTATAAAAATTTACTCGATATTAATGTACAGAATATTAGTGTAAATGTTGTGAATAAATGACAGAATTTTGATGTTTGCAGTGAAACGATACAGACGTTTGGTTTGCAAAAGCAATTAATTATAACAATTAGTGAACAAACATATGGATACCAATCACTGCTCACCACAAGTGACTCGTGAGTAGCTCTGAAGCGGAGGCCAAATGTCTTTAGCGTTGCAGACATTGTTGAAGAGAGCGACCACTTATCTGAACCTCTCGTCCGTCACCTCCAGAAAGCAGTCGTTGAGCGATGACTTACGCGAAGAAGTGGTTTACAGCAAAAACAATGTCTGCGTTCACTCCCTGGACAGACACACCAACCAATTGGTCCACAACTTGGGATACCTAACGATCAAAACTCATCTCAATAACAATAATAATCAAAACAGTGCTTCCGATGACCAGCTGTGGACTCTATGTCTTCAGTGGACACCAAATGAATGTCTGACCAAACATTTGGATCATAATTACGAGGAATGCGTTCAAAACAATCATATCATTGCCGGTGATGTTCAAAATGAAAGCAACGAATTGATCCACAAAACAGATGTCGATGTAAAAGACATGGAAAAGACAGCGGGAGGTGACGGATGTGATGATGACTTCGTCCCAGAATTTAATATCAGTATTCATAGCGATTCCAATAATTACAAGAATATAACCAATTCTAGTCATTCCAGTGATAGTGAACGCAAACGCAGGAACAGTGCGGCTGAAGACAAGAATAAGCCGTCGAGTGATAGTCGAGGGCTGAGTGTCAGACGGTGTCAGAGCTGTCGAAACACTCCTCTCAAAAGAAGTCTTAACAACGAGAACTCAATCAATACATTTAGTGTCGATTTAAAGCAAATCAAGTCTTTGAGAGTATTCTTCGGCGGTGAAGAATCGGAGTCCAGTTGTCTAGTAAATGGTTCTGAAGTCGGAGTAGAAGTGATCGACAATACGAGTGGACAACTGGTTATTGTGAGCAGAGATTCATTCTATAAGGTCTTTGACTTTCATTGCGGAGGTTTAGACCGACTCCTCAATGTGTTGAATGGTTTGGACATTTGGGACAAATCCGAGACATCGAAGGAAACCAATTCATTGCAGTTCTCTATCTGTCGACCAAAACTTGATTCACACGAATGTCATCCGGAAGAGGAGCTCTATGTCATAATCGATGACAACAAATGGACAGATAGTGTCAACGAATTCGGACAAATCATTGACGAACAGACGCTGAGGAAAACAGTATTCTTTGCCGGAATTGATCCGTGTCTTCGGCGCCATATTTGGCCATTTCTTTTGCGAAGATATGAATTTGATTCGACATTTTCTGAGAGAGAATCCGATGACTCGCTTAAAGCCAAAGAGTATTATGAGATAAACAAGAAGTTAGAGGCAATGAGTGACAGCGAAAGGGATTGGTTTTGGCGACACATCGAGAGCATCGTCGAGAAGGACGTCCCGCGCACTGACCGCTCGAACCCGTACTTCGCCGGCGATAACAACTATAATATCGACAAAATGAAGCGAATATTAATAAACTTCGCGCTCTATTGCCCGCAAATGGGTTACACTCAGGGAATGTCGGATCTGTTGGCACCACTTCTTTGTGAGATTCAATGCGAACACAAGACCTTCTGGTGTTTTGTATCTATGATGCGATTGACTCGCTTTGTCTGTTCCCCCAAAGACACTGATATGGACCACAATCTGGTTGGCTATGACTTTGACATTTATATTCATTCATTGATTTTTATTTATTGTTTAAAATTCAGGCATTACTTCGGGAACTGTTGCGCCTAATGAACCCCAACTTCTACCAACATATCAGACGATTCTCTAATGACTTGGGATTACTGTTCACTCATCGATGGATTCTGTTGTGTTTTAAGCGTGAATTCCATGAGACAGAAGCCCTTCATATATGGGAGTCGTGTTGGTCTCACTATCAGACCCATTACTTCCACCTATTTATATGTTTAGCCATTATCTGTATTTATGGTAAAGATGTCATCACACATGACATGGATTCCGATGAAGTGCTCTTCCATTTCAGTACACTCTCGATGAATATGAACGGAAAGTTGATTCTCAGAAAGGTATCAATTCTTAATTCTATTGATTTATTTAATAAATAAATAGATTTCAAAATTAATTATCTATGTAATTTTAGGCCAGAGGGCTGTTCCATGAATTCAATATTCTGCCAAAGATTCCGTGTTCTCTCAAGAATGTCACCAAATGTGGGCCTAATATAGAGATGTGGGATAATAACAGAGAGCAAGTGATTGAATGTATCAAAAAATTGCCAAATGTCTGTAATTCCGGTGCAATGTGTGGCTGCGACCCAAATACCCAATGATATACTAATCAGTGAAATGCAAATTAAACTCAATATTATTAATATATAAAACAAATTTATGTGAAATTTTACGATAATATAACTCAAAACCTAGTCATTCTTTGATATTTTCTAAATCTATTATATTTATTAAATAATATTACATATAATATTGTATAAATTATATTATTGTTAATATTTTGAACAAATATTTATATCTTTTTTAAACAAATCTTTTATTGAAATAAATTCCTTTTAAATTTTATTAAAATAAAATATAAATCTTGTTTAATATGAGACAATTTAAGCAAATAATAATCTAAATTAAAACATTT